GAATCATAAAATCCTAGGATATGTAGGAATGCGTAGGTATCATAACTTCATAAAAACAATAGTCCGATTTTTGGCAGAATAGTAGAAAATTTAAGTTTTGTGTTTTTTTTAAGTAAGTCGTCGTTTTGTTATGAATAGGAACTGATAACTAAGTATCGTTAATTAAAAATTGATTCACTGTAAACTAGACAAAGTTTACTTAAAACAAAAGTGGAGTTTGTCATTGTTAAAACAATTTAAAGAGTACCTTTAAGCGGATAAAGAAAGCGAAGTTCTATTTGTAAAAAAATCATAAATTACTTGTGATTTTTACTGTTGACCCTCCAACTATACTATAGACACATAATTAGTGTAGTAAAAATCCCTATATTCTTGCCCTCTCAACATTTTTATTGGGGAGAGAGGGGAGGAGGCGATCACCTATGAATGAAGCCGAATAGCCAGAATGAATGTCAATAATGAGTTAAGACCCATTGACAATGTTCCTCGAAAGGACTGGGTGAGGCAAGTGGAATCCCAGATAATAAATCAACGGAATGAGGCCTAGAGAAGGAACCCCTCTAATCTACTTCAAATAAATCAAAACAGTGCTAAATGGTGTACGAGTAATAAAAAATCAAGAAAATATTAATTAATTATAGACCGCCACAGTATCGGTCACTGGGAATTTTTGCACGGCTACCTACTCCACGGTCGAGAACCACCTAACGCGTCAGGTGTGGTTCAGCTAGAAACTGAACCACATATTAGTATACAGCATACATTTTGCGGTCAGAGGGAAGAACCTCAAAATACACCAAACTATCCAAGTAATGTTATAGAATACAGATGTGGAAATCCTGATGAGTAACTTGGAAATAACAGGGTTTTACAGCCGAGTATAAAAAATAAAATAAAAATAGGGGATTTCCAACGATCCTAGACAGATCCAATAAATGAATAACTACTAATTATAATGCAATGTAATAATATAATTGGTAGTTCAAAAACTCATCATTAAAAATGTTGACAGAACGAAAGTGTGGTATTTGCTATCTAAAAAAATTAATATAATTTTAAAGTGTTTGGTAATAAAGATAAAAGTGTAACAATAGCAACATAGCTTACGGAATAGTATCCAATATTTTTTGTAAATATTTTGATGAATAAAATATACATCAATATAATTTATAATTGTTGTATACCATAATTTTTCTTTCAACCTTATCAACCATTATTTGTTCAAGTATTTCTTTAAAAAGCAAATTTGGGTACTTTGAGTAAGCCATGGCCTGAACAGGATACACATGGCAGATTTAAGTTTGAATTGGCAGATTTGGAGCATTAAGAAAATTTATGCGATTCTAATGTATGTAAACTGAACATCTATCCACCATTCATTAACCGCCGAATACAAAAATTGCCATTGAACTGGAGGTTAGCCTGAAAAAAAAATGTAGCTTTTATTTTTTTGACTTGTATATATCGATCCAGACATGTAAGGAATAAACATTTTCCCACAGGTCGTGTTTGGAGAATTTCATTTCATTCAGTTGTTCGTTTCCCTGTATAACACAATGGAACGGAGCCAACACGAAATCTGTTAGTTATATTATACTACATTATTATATTAGTATTATTAATTAATACTGAACTTATATGATGAGAGTAAAATATGAGAGGGAGGTTTTCATATAATTTTAAAAAGTAATCATTTACAGGAGGATTGTTTTATGACATCTTAAACTGCGGAAGTTTTTATTACTTTTCTGGTAATTTCTAATTTAATTTCGCTTTTTTCCAAAAAAATTAAGTTTGATTACAATATCCATATTCATCACTAGAAAAATTATCAGCTAAAATACATAAACATTTCAGAATGTTTTAGATTTTACCTTTATCACTCCAGAACGATGCTTCCTCACGAATAAGTTACTGATTTAAGTACGTTTAATTCTGCACCGTATAAGTACCAGAAGTTATTATTTTGTTCAAGTGCCATGGTCTAAAACCACGGTAAAAAAATGATTTTTATCAATTTGGTATATTAATGAAAATGGTAACATTTTTGATTCTTTAGTTTGGAATTGAGTTCTCTGAAAAAAAGGTTTTAGAGCATCAGCCTCTCTCATAATAATTTCATTGACCAGGGGTATCGAAACATTTCCAATCCGGCCCAATGCGAATTCCGGCGAACGTTTCATTGATTTCATGATGGTATTTTGACTGTTATAACTATTAAAAAAAATTGAATTTATTAAAATTATGAAATTTAGCAAATTAATCACACAAGAGGTTACTAAAACAGTTATTTTATGGATTTTTTTTCTCCTATAAAGCTTATTTATAAAACAAGATTTTTTTTCTTTCCACAACCCATGACCAGCGATTGGAGGTTTCAATATGGCCCGCGGGCCAAAAAAAGTTTGAATACCCCTGTCATAAACCACTATTCAGTGGAAGATTCCTAATTTCGATGTGTGTACTTATTACCTAATTTTTAAAACTTTTGCTGCTCAGAAGATTCGGTATTCGATGCACTACAACTTTTATTCCATGTCTTTTTTAAATAAGCAGCTTCGGCATATGAAATACAACGTTTATTTAAAACTTTGTATTCATTCTCTTAAAATATTCGAATCTTTAGCTTATCATATTCAACCTTTCTTCTGCTTTATAGCACTCATAAGGATTATAGCTATTTTTCGTGATTTAGTCAACGTTTTATAGCGAGTATCAACCACTTAATAAATTAAAGAGATATTTGGTTGGTTAGAATTTTTTTCTTTTTATTAAATTAATTTTTTAAACTCACACTTGTCAGAAGTTCCGACAATCAGGGAGTGTCATATGTCTTGAATAGGCGTGAGAGAGAGGAATGCCCAACGGAGTCCTTCCTGTCTTGAATGTATTATTTATAGTTAGTGGAAGAGATCCCTCATCCAGCTTCTTTTAAGCCTCCTTCGGGTGCTTTCGAGCATGTTAGTTGTGGCCATGCCTCGAATCAATGAGTTGGTATGTCCGTGTAAGTTATTATGAAATATCTTGTAGCGTGTACGTATGGGTCGTTAACTGTTGGCATCTGTAAATCTTTATGTAAAGTAATGTTACTGACGTACCATGGAGCTTTGGTGATAGTCCTGAAAGTTTTAGATTGAAAGGTCTGTAGTTTACGTACGTGAGTTAGAAATTAAATATACAATTAAATACATGGACTTAATTTTAAAAATATCTATTTAAAAAAAATTAGTATTGTAGTCGTTATGTTTTAATGTGTATAGCAACGAAAGAGGAAAACACGAATCTGCACGAATCCCGGTGTAAAAATAGATGTGAATGTTCAATCGAGTTCAATCGAGGATTTCCGCCCCCTTTTCGGGTTCTGTTCTTCAGAAGATTTCGCTTTGAATGGATATCACAATAAACGATTTCGCACTCAGATTGTATTCAAGGGCAGTGTGAGAAACATATTTCTACCTTATCGTCGATAATGTATCCTATAGTCCAGCAGCCCTAAGGTTTATATCTATATTTGTATAAATGATATTTATTTATATCTGTATTTGAAAGTTATTAGGTTTATTGTAGGCTAACAGTGGACATTTAAAATTATTAAGGGTGTGAATCTACGTTGTTTCACTAGTCTCCTAAAACACTTGGATTATTAGCGCTTAAGATTCCTTTCAATTATAAAAGTTCAAAATAGATCTGACCCACTTTAAAAAATTAAAATAATATATATTATGTATACATTATGTACTATTGGTCAGTGAGACGGTTTTTTACTAAACTTCCAGTATTTAAATTTACTGGAATGCTATCTCTCTGAAATCAAAACTTCGATTTTGATTGGTCGGCTTATTTCAAATGGAATTAAGTTAGTGGTGTTTCGGCGAAGGCGTGTAGCATATTGAAACCTGATTGGCCCTTTACGCTTTATATTTATGTGACATATCCAAGGTGAAATTATACTAAACTCAAACTGATGTAAGAATGAAGATATAACAAGTGTGAGTGATTATGAAAATTGTATGTTTAACATATAAAATACGGATATTTAAATCCGTGTCACTCCCAGTTCTCCTGTATGGATCAAAAAGCTGAACAGCCGTCGACAAGCATTTAAGTAGGACAACATCAGCAGAAATGAGATTCCTCCGAAGAATAGCTGGTAAGACCAGGAGGGACTGCGTCAGAAATGAAAAAAATTCAGAAGGATCTGGGAGTTAAATCAGTACGTGACACCATGCAAGAGTGGCAACTAAAATGGTATGGACGCGTCTGTAGAATGGACGATGCCAGAAAATCCAGGTGGTTTTTGGAAGCTAGGCCAAAAGGAAGACGGCCTCGTGGCAGACCCAGGTGCATGTACTCTGATTACCTTGGGAAAGTACGGGCAGCAAGAGGACGCACCACCCCTAAGATAACAAGACTGGCCATGGACAGGAACCAGTGGGCTAGATGGATTGACACTGCAATTCCACGCTTGACGGTACGCAGAAGTTAGAGAAAGAAGAAGTAGAAGAAGAGGGTTATAGTAAGATAAAGCCATTCACGAAGTTTTGAACAGATGTTAATAATTTGATAAAAAAAGTGTCAGTAAGGCGGACTATAAGGATATTATGAATTAATGAATATTGGGTGAATTACTGCTTGTATATATTATTATAAAAACAATCACGTGTTAATTATGTGACCGTCACGATTACTTTATTATTAAGAAAATATTTCAGAATATTGGAACTAACATAAAATCGATGACAATCAGTGTATAACGCGATCAGTTGCTAAGTAATGCATGAAGATTAACAGGGTCAGTGCTAATGAGTCCTAGAGCTGCGATATTAGCTGATTACTGTCTGCTACATTTGTTACAGTTTGCAGCAGTTCGTTTTCGGCTTACTCCGCTTCTCATAGTAATTAACCAAGCTCCTGCAAACTCTATAGTTGTGATAAATGGGCAGAAAGGTTGGCCAAAATTGACATGTAAATTATGGAATGATTATAAAAACTTGACTCACTTGTACGCTGCGTTGGCCCCGTTCAGCCTTAGGCCTTTCAAATTCCGATGGTCCAATGGCACCTGAGGAAATAAGAAAGAAAAAATATAAATAAAGTGAAAATTAAGAATAACTAATCAACAATTTAAACTCCTGGAAAAAAATAAAAACTTTTTTTTTGGTTTATTTTTTTTTAAGCACACCTATCATAATGGTAATGACAACCAGTGAATGTGAGGTTTGATTGGAAAAAATAATGTCATGAAAGGCATTGCGAGGATCAGTGCCCAGCGGCACCTCATTCGGCGTGATATCTACGTTAGGCGAGGAGGTCTCTCATCCACCTCCTTTTCAGTCTTCTACAGACGTTACCTGGCATATTCGTAGTGGCCATTTCATTTATATGTGTATTAGGATGTCCTTGTAAGTTGTCATGGAATCATTTGTAATGAGTTCGTATGTGTTCGTTAACAGTCGGCATATGGAGGTCAGTATGTAAGGTTATGTTGCTAACGTACCAAGGTGCTTTTGTGATTGTCCTGAATGTTTTTACTTGAAAGGTTTGAAGTTTGTTTAATTGAGTCTTTTTAGCAGTTCCAAATATTTGTGATGCGTAAGTCCAAATAGGTTTTAGTAAGTAATTGTATGTGTTCAATTTCTGTCTAAGTTTTAATTTCGAAAGAAGTGAGTTCAGAATTTTTAACCTTTGATTTATCGTTTTTTGTTTCTTGATTATACGTGGGCCCCACGTCATTTTTCTGTCAAATGTCAGACCAAGGTAGTGAACGGTGTCTGCCTGTGGAATCTGTGTATTGTCAAGGAAAACTGGAGGGCATGTTTCATGTCGAAGCATAAATGTGATGTGATGTGATTTGTCTTGATTTTCCAAATTTTGAACCAGTCATGTAATCTTGTTGAATACTATTGTAGGGTCTGTGAGGCGTATGTTGGATTTTTGTGTTTTGCTAAAATTGCTGTGTCGTCTGTTAAAATGTTGGGACTGCAAGGTATGTCATGGGTGTATATGATATAGAGTAATGGAGCGAGTACTGAACCTTGAGGTACTCCTGCTGAGATAGACCTGATGGAAGATAGTTCTGAGCCGTATCGGACCGAGAAAAATCTATCGGAAAGGAAGGATTGTAGAATTAGATAATATGTAGGTGGGAGTATTGTCTTGAGTTTGTTAGTATATCAACAAGTCTTTTGTTCAGTAAGCTTTCAAAATTTTTGGAACAGATAGGTAGTAAGATGATTGGTCGGTATGAGGAAGGTGAGTTTTTGTCCTTGTTAGGCTTGGGAATCCTTATTATATGTGAGTATTTCCACTGTAGTGGAAATTTAGTTGTCCTCAGTATTGCATTATAAATAGTTGTCAAAAGCACTAGAGCTTTTCTAGGAATTTGTTGGAGCACTTCAGCGTGGAAAACTTAAACTTAACAGTGCACGAGGGGTCTACTAACAAAAGTGGATAATTCCAAATTTCTAAAATTTTGAAAAATGAAATAAAAAAAATATCAAGAGGTAATAGTAAAAATCAAGAACAACAACAAAAAATCAATCTCCAATTGTCAGCAAAAAAGCAGAAAATTTCAGTTGTTTTTATGGTGTCAGATTTTTTCGTTGAATTTAAATCGATAACTAAAATAAAAAAAAACTTAATTAATAAAATTAAAAATTACTTCAGTGTAAACTAAACAAAATTTACTTTAAAAAGAAGTAGCGGTTTTTTTTTTTTTTTTTTTTTTTTTTTTTTTTTTTTTTTTTTTTTTTTTATCAGCATGCAATTGAACGACAGATACCCCACTTTTAGAAAAAAAATTCACGTCTATGGACCTTTAAGTCCATAATAATAATGAAGTTGAGGTTTATATGGTAAAAACTTGAGATTCACCCGTAGTAGTGTAAAAAAAAAATTATATGTTTCTATTTTCTGTCTCGTAAAACTACCCGTTTTTCATCAAAAATGACTGAAAAAAATTATTGACAAACTTTTCTTTCTTTTGAATACCCAGGATGAATAATATGTATTGCATAAACACATGTTTTGTTAAAAAAAAAATGTTTAAAATAATGATTTTCGATTATCCATCACCGAAAGTGATAATGAAAAAGTATTTCTATTTCTAGAATTGATCCGTATTTACAAGCGATGAAATAAATGTTTCTAGTGACACAGTTTGCGTTTAAAATTTTAAGAAACCTGTTAATTGCTTCATTTATTTTTATGAAAGCGTAAATATTAGGGCCAGGTATATTTATTTTGTCATTTATAATATGGGTCAATTCTTATATATATATATAGTATACGAATTGACCCGTATTATAAATGACAAAATAAATATACCTGACCCTAATATTTACGCTTTCAGGAAAATAAATGAATATATGAATATATATATATATATATATTATACATACTATTTATTATCCACAAATAAAATTATTGATGATCAAACAAATATTTACATCTTTGTTTTTATTTGATCATCAATAATTATGGCTATATTTTCTAAGAATGTAAATATCAGAAAATATAGCAATAATAGATAATATCCAAGAAACATTAATGCTTAAACAATAAAAATAGATTAAATAAATGCAATAATAAATAGATTTTAATGTACTACATCATTTAAGCCGATTTGACTCCAAACGCCTATAAGAAATTAGTATAAAGAAAATAATTAAATAGGTGGGCATCTATAGAATTATAGACCATTAAAATAAATAATAATTTAAAAACTAAATAAATAAGTATAAAAAGATGTGACAGAAAATATGGACCAAACCTTCCGTGTCTAACTGTCATTTATTCAGGAAAAAAAAGCAATACATTAGGGATCTCATCGTAGAAAATTGATCTAAGCTTTAAAATAATAGAGATGGAAAAATTTAGCAAATGCTTATATTGATATTTTGAGAAACTAATAGACAATTTAAAGATATTTATTTCGTCATACACTGTGTATATAACCTATTATTATTTAACTTATGCTGTAAAAAGTAAAATAATATCTTCTTTTCAGAGACTTTAGGGTAAAAATCATTTCTATGAATTAGGATCTACCGAGTTTATAACTCATCGAATCAACCTCGAGTAAATTAACCGTTGTAAAGGGAAGTTGATATAATACTTAAAAATCAAATTAAATTTCATCAGGTAATTCAATATTCTCCCTTTATACCACTCCCTGAGATAAAATAAATCAGCGCAAATGCTTATATCAAAAAGCTCCATGAAAGCTTATATCATCAACGCCTCACATGTTCAAACTGAACAACATGTCCCGTCAACATTTCGGTATATTTTATTTACTAGCTATCTTTTTTAGCTAAAGCGAACTAAAATAACTAAAAGAACTAAAATCAAATTTCTCGGGACAATAAAACAGTCAGATAATTAATTGCTAAGCAAAGAACAGAGTTATTACCTTTCTGGGGGAAATCTTATTAAACATCCCCTTACATCAAATCTTATACTTATTTTTGCTAGACTTCTATTTACTACCAAAACATTTCTAAGTAGCTTGTTGTAATTTTTCAAATAGCAGCGGATAGAACCGAACTCAGAAATAATAATTCAACTTGTCATTTATGAAGATCTAATAAAATTTGAAAAAAAAAAAAAAAGTGAATCACAAAGTAGAATGCTGATAGAAATGAGACTATTTTCAACAGCATTTCATCTTCGGTTTATTTCCAAAAGTCATTGAGTGACACTTCATAACCTTAAATCTAAGAAGTACTTTAAGGAACTTTCTCTATTTGAATACGAAAATTATACTTTTGTTGTAACTATATTTGATAGATATGATATTGTGTCAGTTTTTATGAACATATACAACATTAATTTTATATAGAAAAATTAAGTCAATGATCAGCAAATCATTTTTATTATTATTATTTTTTTTTTAACCCTCCCCTGCCTCAAGGCAATACGGGTATTTGCAGCAGTGGGATGTTACTGTTACATAACAACCCACTGCTGCATTTTTAAACTATAACATTATGTTTCTCAGCTGTCCACACAGCTATTCTCTTCACTTCTGCCTCTTTATTTTCTACTTTTTATTCTGGTGGCCTCTCGGTGCAGCTTCTCTTCTTCTTCCCAGATAGAAGTGCAACTTCTTTCCATCCGTATAAAAAAAGTTTGAAGTGCATATATCTGTCTGTGGCCATAAGTTAAGGAAGATCTCTCTCTGTTAGGACAAAATCATTATTATAAGTCCAGCTCCATAAAAATGTACTTATCGGCTTTTTGTAGCACTAGATATTATTTATAAGTTTGTCACTGATTTGAGGCGCCCCCTCGGATGAAGTCCCCGGGGTGACTGCCCAGGTCGCCTCACCCATAAAGTCAAGAAAATCGAGATTAATTGTGAACACTGATTTTTTTTTCGGGAGGGGGAAGAAGGAGAGAGGAGTCATTGTAGACTGACAATTCACCCATTCAGGACAGAATGTCAGTTGTAATATCAATGTTCTCGTTCTCAGATTACCCGAGGTTCTTGACTGAGGCTGAGGGAGGAGGGAGAGAGCTGGCGAGGTTCACGACATTTGTCATTCACACACTTTGTTGGTCCTCCCCTCCAAAATTTACCAATCTGTTACAATGTTACTATGACTTCTTCTCCTTATCACTGAATGATGGTGCTTCGGGGGACAGTATTTTGGTGACTAAAATATAAACAAGTTGGTAATAAACTTCCAACTTTTTATTTTACTATTTTTTTTATTATTTTTTTTTTTACATGCAATGGAACAGACTTAATAGTCACTCTTACACAAAAATCAAAACTTGGAACAGTCGTTTGTGTAATTGTAGTACAGTAGAACAAACATCTGAGAAAGTTCTTCAGAGTTAGGTTCTTCTTGGAATGATTAGAAGGATGATTTGGACTGAGCCGAAATCGCCTGAAACAAAACACTATAGGACATTGGAGAACCTCCGGAGAACCACGTGCTTTCTTATTTTTTAACCACACCTGACCATTTAGTTGGAAGAACGAAGAAGTAGATGCTATAGGTTTTTTTTTCTAAGCTCTTTTTTTAATAATAAATAATTGGAAATGTATAACTGTATTATTAATACCTCTATTATAATAAATTGTTTTTATTTTTATTTTAAACAAGCATCCAAGTTGTATCATACATTTTAGCAACATAGGGTAATGAATGAATTGACAAAAACAAAATCGACAATAAGACAAGGAGCCTTTCAAAATTGGAGGCTTTTCTAGTATTTTACAGACTCAAAAAGCATTAAGATATGAAAATTAAATTAAATAAAAACAAAAAGATTACATATCCACATAAGTCCTCTACAATAAGAATTTGAGAAAAATATATATATATATATCATTTATTTATATTATTATTTGCACACAACTTGCCAAACCGATATATCGAATGACCTATACCTCGAGCAACAGTTGACCTCCACAACGGCAAAGTTATTCAAAGATTAAAGATTTATTATTTTAATTCGTATCCCATATCCCTTGATGAAAACAAACTTTGTTCAATTGGTTAAATGTAGCGAAACATGATATAATTTTTGAAACTGTATGCCAAAATGGCATTTCTGTACTTGTCTTTATGGTTTATTGGCGTATTTCAAAGTCTCCTTTTACTGTATATTTTCATTTTAAGTAGGTTTACATTGTCATAATAACTTCTGCCAATTTCTATTATTTTAAATTACTATTTAGACGATGGGGCTAACCATTTTTTTTTGGTGTTAAACATAAACTAAAATTAAAGATACAATTTAACTTTTAAACAACTTCAGTTGAGGTGGTCCATAAGGTATAATTTGTTTGAATTAGGGATTTTTTTTTTTTTTACTAATTCGTAAAATTCTATATTTAATTCTGAAATGAAATGTAGTACTTTTGGTATTTTTAATTCCTTTAAGTCTTAAGTTTTTTTTTTAAACTCTTTTTCGTGTTCGTTCCTTTCTTTAACTATCTTTCGCATTTTTAAATTATTGAAGTCGATATTATATCGGCTGTTTTAATAAAATGAGGACAAATCATAGAAAAAAAAAAATATATATATATATTGAAGATTAATTCTATACTATATATAAAGGATGTCCCGCAAGTAGAAGGAAACATTTAAAACTGTGTAGTAAATATCAAGATCTACAAAAACGTTCAAATAAGAAATTAAACTATTTTCAACAGAAAAGTAGGAAATTCAAGTGTTTTTTTTTATCACTCTTGAGCTACCCTACTTTTAGAAAAACTTCCTATTTTAATAAGCGCTAAGTCCATATTAATTAGGTTGAGATTTATTAGGAAAAATTTTGAGATTCAACTTAAGTTGTGTAAAATATTATGTTATTTGATTGCCTGTAACCTACAATTAACCATGTTTTCAGCAAAAATGACTACAATATGTATCATAATTAGTATAAATGCATAAATACTCTTTAAATTTATAATAAAAAAAATTATAATAATGTTTTGTTCTAATATTTATCATGTAAAGTGATACTTAAACTTTGTATTTTACCAATGTCTCTAATATTGAAATCGATCCGTAATTATAAGTTACTAGCTACATGTTTCCAATCTTAGCACGTTACGTATTGAAGTAAAAGAAGCTCCTGATTACTTGATTTGTTTTTTCTAAAAACGTGTAAATCTCCAAAATTATATATAATTATTAAATTATATAAAATATTATCAAATCATATGATGATTGGAATGTATTAAACTTAACTGCGCCGATAAAAAAATATGATAATATATGAAAAGAAAGCAAATAGGTAATAATTCTTAACCTTATCACATAGACACTATTTTCTTTTGTTATATTTAGCGAAAGATAGATATCTCAGGTGGATTGTTAACTATTGTTTTTAATTAATCAAAGATGCACATCACATAAAAAAAGATTATTGCTTTTTTTTTTTTTTAATTTATAGAATATTATAGTATAGAAAAATAAATATAAGCGTACGTATGACTACACATATGTACTATTCGACAGACAGATGATTTGTGATATTAAAAAGTAGAATACTCGAAAATGGAAAATGGCCTTACTCAGAAAAAAAAATTGTTTTCTTAATTCATGACAGACTTTCTTAAACCAAATAAAACTATCGGCTTAGACCGGCTGACTGGAGAAGCGAATTTATTTTTGGTTTTCTTTAAGTTGATTTTTTGTGTTTATTTTTGTTTATACTTTGTTATATATTTCTTTCTAATTTTTTTGTAAAAAACATATCGACAGCCACACTGTAAAACCTCGTAAGTACAATTTAATTAGAATGTGCGGTTTTGATGTTTGCCGGCTAATCTTTAATTATAATCTTAATTATAATCCTCGAATATAATTATAAAAACAAACCAAAAACGTCGTTTAGGAGAACACATCTCTGTTTTAAGTATGCAATAAAAATTGAATGGAAAATCTACTTCATAGAATAACAAATACGCGATTTATTTGGTCTTATAAATAATTTTATTCATTGTACTTGCAGAATTTTGCAGTGCGGCTTTTGATATATTAATTATATGTAAAACTCTTATTAAATTCATGCATTATGCCTATATAGATATGCCCATATATATGGATTTATAAATGTACTAATTTTGTAAATTCATATATTTTAAATAACTAATTAATTCCGTTTACTTTAAGCAAATGTAATTACAATACCAGTAATAACATTAAATGGTGGATGATAAAAAAAAAAAAATTGAATTTTTAAAAAGTTAATCTAGTATTGGACAAATTTTGATGTATATCTTACAGAGTAAAATTCAAATAAGCGAATTTATAAATAAAATCACAACACAATTAACAATAAGGAACAAATATAATAAATTATTTCCATTATGTAATTAGTTATTTCTAATAAATAACGATTTCGTGATTCGTAAATGGGTTAATATAATATAATATTTTTTATATGATATTTGTTTTTTTATCGTGCAATACGTATCATTCAAAACTTACAATATATTGTAGTTCCAGAAAAAACGATCTTCACTTACTAGTCATATTCGTTCGCACTTATTAACCGAAACTACCAACATTTTTTTTATTATTAATTTAATCTATCTACTGAACCTAGAAGTAAGAACATTCGACATTATAAAGATTACATAAGAAAAGGTACATATCCAAAAAAATAGTGCGTAAGAATCGGAAGGGAGAAAATAAAAGCGACACCGACTTTGAAGGGGATTTGTGCCAGACTGAGTAGAGGTTTATTTCTAGACTTGACCCCGCTACCCCCCCTCGCTGCCTCGATATAGACCGTCTATGCCCCTCCTTCCCAAAACTATGCAGGAGCACAATTTATTTCTATAAATTTAAATATTTTATTTAAAACAATAATGTAGGAATAGATTTAGCCGTCAGAGGAGGATAATTTATTTTAGCAAAAATAAGTCGAAATCATCAGTAGATTAAAAAAAGTGAATTTTAATGTAAAAAAATATAAAAATTGAATTAAAAAAAAAATATATATATATTTTTATTTATCGAGCCGACATGAACCTCTACTTGGTCCTCCGGCTCGCTGTCCCTCTTGATGATATACCTTGCGTCTTCAGCCACTGAATCCTTCGGATGACTTCATATGTGGTTCCTGGTAAAAACTCAAGCCACTAGCTCATTCTCAGTATTAACTAACATTTATAAATATTTATTTTAGTTTAAATATACAGCATTATTTAACGTAAAAAAACATCAACAATCATATGTGATCTATCGTTTAATGACATGACTAGACATATTGTGGAACTACCCGTTAGTGGATAAAGAAAAGGTTGACAAGTAAAACCCTAGGGTCATCAACGCCTGTGAGTCTGTAACATTTGTCTTTATAGGAGAATTAAAAAAAAATAATAATAATAGATAGATAGAATATATGAATGAAGAAGATATTTAAAAATATATTAAAATAAATATTTAAAAAAAAATCACAATAAAATAAAAATTATATTTATTTTTATATTTTATTTAATAGCCTATGAATTTTAAGAAACTTTATCACTGTTTTTATGTTTGCTTCGTTGTTGCTTAATACTTCTGATATATCCGATTTTAGAGAAAATCGAATTAGGCTTGCAGCATAATAAGTGCATTCTTGGAAAATATGATTGATTGTGAGAGGGCTATTGCAGTGCTGACAATTTGGTGGTGGCTGCTTAGTGATGAGATGTACATTGGTTAGGTTCGTGTGTCCTATTCTTAACCTGGACACGGCGACCTCTCTACGATTAGGGCGGTTTGATGTGGTCCAGGCTTCACTGATTTTTTTTAACAACATTTAATTTGCTAGGTGGGCTTTCGTTCTACATAGATTGCCAATTATCCAAGTGGGGTGAAGTTCGTATCTGTTCTGTGCGAAGAAGTGCAATAAAAACTACCAAAGGAAGATTTTTTAGGCAGTCGTTTATACAATTAGGAATTTAAGTTTCAAGCTTTTCTATCTTTCCAATTGCTTTTAATTGGTCAGCGATGGTCGGTTTACTAACTAAGCGTTTCTTTTCAAGTTCTCAAACAGTTGTTCTAAAATTTCATTCGAAGAAATTTCACAGAACATTTTTATAAACGGGAGAAATCCTTTGGATATTGTTGTCTTCAAGGCTGAAGTCCCCTCTCGAATTTTTTTAAACCATCGTTGAATGGTGCAGTCATGATGCCATTATCTCAAACTTCAATAACGTTTATGGCCATTTGGGCTCCAATCAGTTTATTGAGTTTATATATAAACTCGTAAAACGAAATTACGCGAAAATCACTCTTGTACTGACATCTTTGTAAAGACTGAATTATTTTCTACTAGTGAATTGCAACAATAGATGCAATGACACAGTGTGCCTACCACCAAATTCCAATATAATTCAATGTAAATAAGCATGATTTTTTTTTTTTTTTTTTTTTTTTTTTTTTTGTGCCGTATTAAATTTTATTTCATCTGTTTTACTAAACTTTATTTTTCTTCCTTTTGTTATAATTTCTATTATTTTTGTAATTGTATATATTGTACGACTCAGTCTCTAACATCTCAAATACTCAATGCCCTCGATTGAGGTAAAATGTATTTTTTCTCAATAAAGTAAAATTAAAAAAAAAATTTCATTCAAAAGTTGGCATTTCATGTTAACGAAAATGCTACGAATTCTTTTGCTCTGTGTTTATAACTAGAGGTTTAAAATACGATTTTTTTACTAAAAATAAATATCTGTATCTTACTATTACATATTTTGTATAAAGTATTTTTTTAATAACTATTAATAGAAGAATTTTAAGAAGTTTGGGTGCTCTTAATTTATGCTTGGATTTTTAAAAAAAAATTAAATGATTATGCTTATTACCTAACAAATCGAAATATTAATTATAATTTAAATAATAATCTATTACATATTTTTTCATACTTTTGAATTATTGTTCACAGTCCTCAAAATAATAATATCTAAAACTAACTTCAACATTTTTAGACGCTGGATGGTCAAAGATCATCAGAAATTGTAGAGGAAGCGAAGTTAAAAACTAACGGGTTCGAATAGTTCTGGAATTTATTATGAAAGGATAGGTATCTGGCTTGGACTGTTCAGGACATCATCGATGATTTCATTTGTAACAAAGAGAAGAGCGTTGAGGATTTTAGTTTGTAAAGATTGGATACGAAAGGAATTCAATGATTAGTAGGGTTCGGAAGCTCAACTACCTACATTCAAATATATCTAATTATAGTCATGTAAATGAGTCCTTTTGTAATTGATTGGAAGGTTAGAGCGTTTGTTTCCTATGTTTTTTACATTTTATTGTCTAGTAACTGTCCTTTCAGTCTTGAATGAGGATCCCACGTAATACCTTTGTTCAGAATGAGTCCTTGGGATCGGATCTGTTCAACAAAGATAAGAAGAATGTGATTAAATATTACTGTGGGGCAGGAAGTGACAGGTTTATGGCGAAGGGTAAATGTGATGTGATGGGATTCATTGAAATTAATTTTATTGAATACTTAACAGTTGGCCGTTGTGTTATGAAGAAACGGTCCGGGGCGGCGGTCATAAATAGACTAAAATAGTGGCAAAACTATTTTAATCTATTTATGACCGCCATCCCGGACCATCTCCTTCCTCGAAATTAATTTTAATTTTTAGTTTAGCGGACCCACAGAATAAATCTCAATCTTCTAACCCTGGTTATACTAGGGTTCTTTGTACCTCTAAAACAACCTCCCTTATGCAAGTGATGGTGAGGTAAGGGGTAAATGTAAAAAAAAGGTGTTGATAATATTCTATAATCTATATGATTTGTGACTGAAGTGTTTGAGGTCAATTAATTTCATTAAAATTAGAAAGTTTTTTTAAAAATTTATTTATTTAGAATTATAACAATCTGTCACGTGGACAATAGTTTATAGTCATACATGAACACATTCACACCATATATACAGAAAATATAAAATTAACAAAAGTAAAATAATAATAAAAAACTATGTACAGTAAAAAAAAATAAAATAACCTAAAGATAATTAAATTTAAAAACAAAGTCATACCTACATACAATATATACAATTAGGCAGGGAATCCCAAGCCAGGCTTCTCCCCCCAACTATAGAAGGAAAAGCAGGACTCCAAGAGATCCCTGCGCAACTCTCTCAACCGCGTTACTCGGGCTAAAGCCAGTGGAGTTTGAGCGAGAGCGCTATAGCCATATACACTCATATCTTCAGAATCTGGCCATTGCCAGAACTCCAAGATATATACGACAAAAGATCTCTGGGCCACTGCCGCTTCAACCTTCGAGGAGGATTGTAGGGATGGATGGAGCTAGACAGGGATTGTGCTAGGGGATTTGGATGTTTAGATGATTTGGATATTTATAAGGTTCTGATAGAATTTGGAAAAATTTTTAGGGATAAGGTCGAGGACAAATGGTATATTAAGGTCGTGAAGTAGGGTTTTGTTGGTTACATAGAACGGAGCATCGACTATTGTTCGGAGGACTTTGGACTGAAAGGAGTGGATGCGTTTGATGTTAGAAAATTTTGCTGTCCCCCAAAGTTCAGGTCTAAATAGGTTTCAGGATTGCCTTGTAGATCAGTAATTTATTGTCAATTGAAAGTTGAGATTTTCTGGTCAGTAGTCTGTATAATTGGCCGTATCGTCGGTTAAGTTCTAGTCTTTTAAGTCTAGTATGTGGATTCCACGTCGGTAAAAATGTATAAGATATATCTAACGTAATCTTGAATGAGTCTAGTATATTTATGTTATTCGTTTGTTTGTATATTTCCGATGTTATCAAATATAATAGCATCAACGGAAACCAAGCTCTAGCAGTTTCAGAACAGATTACTAAATGAATTGTGAGACAAACTTCATTACAGAGGACAAAAACAGACCGACTCCTAATGACCATAAAACTACTGACTGTAATAGCCTTTAAGGTAGTTGATGTCATCCACTGACTGCACACACGCGCTATCAGCGTAGATGGTGATAACAGCGTTAAGATGGGTTGGTATGCCACCTTTATAAAGTATCTAGAGAAACACCAGGGGACTGGGGTAATAAAGATGAATAGAAGCGATTGTGGTTTACTTTGAATAACTTTTCAATGAAGTATGAAGGGATAATGAGAAGGTATATTGTGAGTAGGAATTCATAGAGTTTGTAAGGTAGTTGCAAATGCCACACCTGATCAAAAGCTTCTTCAAACTCGAGAAAGATTTCCATGCATTACAATAAAATTAGTGGAATGCGATGTTCGAAACCTAGATATAGGCTAGCGATTTAGGATTATATTATTTTCCAGAATTTTTTTTCTGGATAGACTGAGAAAACTGTAGTCAAATAACCTTTATTTTCTATAAGGTATATTTGTACCATTACTTTATTTCTTTATCCTTAGCAAAAATTCAATTATTTAGTAGGTTTTTGGTATTTCGTGTGATATAATTTTTTGAACGTGGCTTAACTAACTTCATTTTCTGGCTTAGAGGTGGACACTGAGTGAAGAACCCTAAAAATGCTAATTTGGTATTCTAAGAAGATCTGTGCTTTGCTTTCTTACAATACCACCGATCTGAAAACTATCTCCTGTATTCGTATCTTAAGATTTGCTGTAAAGGCTTTATTATGTAGTACTTATTGAATGCAATTTCATAATAGAATCCAACTAGTTCCACGTTTCTTACTCGAACCCGAAATTATTGTCTGATACTAAAAACTATATATAGAACTAATTAAATAACAAATTCATTAA